AATGATTAGAAACATAGAGGAAGTAGAATGGAACCCATTCCTATGAAAGTCATAAATGCCGTGAACTGAAGATCCTCCAGTGGGAAGGGAAGCTGGGAAAAGCAGCCCTCCAGGGACCATGCTGTCTGGATTTGGATATGGGGAAGTCCTGGGCAGGAGGCCGAGGAGCAGAGGCACTGAAGCCTGAAACAGGACGCCCCCTCTCACACAGGACTGCACCTTGGACCCAGCTGTCCCTTAAGCTGTCCAGAGCCCTTCCAGGCCAGAAGTGGCAGTCTGTGAGATGTGGAGGTCCTGGAGATTCCTGGAGAGGGCTCAGGCACCATGTGGGTCCTTGTCTATTAGGCGGATTCCTCCACCGTCTCTCATGCCTCTCCTCCTTCATGTACAGGGAGGGGTGGGGAGGGGGCACCTCCTCGAAGCAGTCCCAGGGCTCTAAGGTGAGAAGTAAGAGGTGGGGAAGGGCCTCCCCTGCCCTGGGCTGTAGGGCCATGCCCAGGCACAGGGGGTTCCTTGTCCCAAAGACTCCAGAATCATAATCCTCAAGCACTTCCTACTGTGAAGAGCTACAGAGAAAGCAGGGGTCCCCTCAGCAGATTATTATGACACCCCCACATCCCAGCAGCAGAAGGACACTGGTGTCACTGAGGTGAGCCTCGGCACAGTGCTATCTCCTCAGGGTCGGGGAGACCCTTTCAGAAGGAGTAGGGGTACTGACCCCCCACCCCCACCCCTGACCAACCCCCAGCACGCTGCCTTGCTCAGCTGCAAGCCCGCGGCTTTGGCCTCAGCTCTTAATCCTCTCAGGTGGGTAAATGGAACATGGGGGTTGGGGAGATCCGGGTGTCCCATGCTGGCCCCAGCCCCATAAGCTCCAGATAACAGATCAGAGCACAGGCCTTAGCCTTTGCAGAATAGGACGGACCAGTGGCAGGGAGGAACGCACGTCTGCCCATGGAATGAGAGACTGATTTCTTAACCTTGATGGAGAAGGGGAAAGCCACATCTTACCAAACTCTTCCGCTGTGTTGTAGGGAATTTAATTACATTTGGACATTTGAATGAGAACCAGATGTGGCTATGCCCGCTGGCCAGCAGCATTCAAAGGGCAGCCGCTCCTCTGTGGTCCACAGGGCCCGGTGCTATCTCGTCACGCTGGAGGGGACCTCGGGGAGCCGGGAACTAGGGTGGGTCTTCCAAGCTTCAAGGCTGGACTCCAGAACACAGGCAGGTCAAGGCCAGCTGCCAGCACCTGGTGCCAAGGGCGAGCCTCCAAGCCCTGTGCCCTCTTCATAGCCGGGCAGAACAGGCCTGTGTGCTAGTGCCTGAGACTCCTCCAGGCCCCTCCACACAGAGGGGTGGCATGGCAGCACCTGGCCGGGCGTTCTTCATCCCCCAAGCCCGCCTGCCATGCCCCTCAGCACTGAGTCCCCCCAAAGGGCATCAGCCAAGGCTCTGCTCCCAGGGTGGCACCGAGGAGTGAGCTAGGAGGGGCATTTCAGTCCCGCTCCTGGGGGCTCTCCGCCTGCTGGAGACGGCAGAGGCAGCAAAGCTTATGCTTTACCCACAGGCCTCGAGTGCACGTCCGGTGCGGGCTCTGCTTCTTAAAGTCCCCCGCGTGCTTTTCCCGTTAGAGCCGCACATACCCAGTGTGGTCACTGGAGCAGACAGACCCTCCCCTTCTGTGCCACAGATGCTGACGCCGATGAGAAGTGAAGTGACTTGCCCAGGTCATTTGGCACATCTGTGACAGCACTGAGGCCACAGTCCTCCTCCTCCCTGGGCCGCCACGGGGAGCTGTAGGCCAGGACTTCTCCACAACTGGCCGGTCCTGAGCCTGGCTTCTCAGACACATCAAAACAGGGACATAGGAGCTGGGTCAATGCAGCCTTTTCTGTTCCCTCATATGGCGTGTGGTGACTGCATGTACTCTCCCTTGGTCAGGGTTTCAAGTTTCACTAATGTATGGGCACCGAGAGGCTCCCTGGATGTGGGGTCCAGTCAAGGTGGCTGGGTGATCCAGCCATGTTCTCCTTTGAAGCCAAGATTTGGGGAGGCCTGAGTTAGGCGGCTTTCCTGGGAGTGAGGTGTGGCAGCTGTCCAGGGTGGGGGATATGGCCCCAGCCCCCCCAGGCCAGCATAGCCGGAGGCTCAGACATGCCGGTGCCACCACTCTTCACCGGTTCAAAAGCCGCAAAGGTGAACCCGGGCTGGGCTGAAGCTCCACCTGGAACTCCAGTGCCCTCCCCACAACACACACAGGCACAGCAGGCTCTAGAGGAGAGGTGTGACTGCCATAAGTGACAAGCCTGGTAAACGTGGGACAGGAGCTGGGGAGAGGCCCCTCCCGAGTTCTCCTCAGTCCTCAGGCCTCTCTCCTCCCCCTCCTTTCCCACCTTCTTCCTCCCTCCCCAGCATTCCAGCACACACGTCTCCTGGCATCTGCCCTGTCCCTGCTGGGGATCCAGGGCTCTAGTCTGTCTCTAAGCCCCCCTCATGGCATTAAGGCCGCACTGGCCTGCTGTCATAGACAGGGCTTGCCTCAGCTTTCCTCTATGGGTCCTGGAGGGAAGGGGAGCTGGCGGGGGAAGGGGACATGCCCGTGCCCTCCCTGGTTTCTCGGGTGGAAGCTCAGGCACAGAGAGGGCCCTCTGCTTTCCTGACATGCAGCGTCCTCAGCCCTCTCCCTAGCCAGATGTCGGTCATGACTTTCACCTTCAAGGGGTGGTGGACGCCTGGCAGCATCTGAGGTCTCTCCACTCAGGTCTCCCAGCAAACCCTGCTGAGGCTTTAAGCCCCTGTGCCTGGCCCCAGTGGCCAAGGACAGCAGTTCCGGAGGTCCCGAGCCAAGAGCACCAGAGGTTTCCCTTCAGTGTTAGGAGCTGGCGGGGGTGGGTGCAGGATATGCCATGTGGTCTTGCCTCATTCTGGTCAGAAACAAAAGCTGGGCTAGGAGAGAAAGCCTGTTCCTAGGAGCCTGTGGGTGGAAAGAGACTCTAGCCAGGGGGGAGGCCATGCCTGTCCCCAGGCCCCAGCACTCAGGCAAGAGCTGGCAGGAGCCCAGGCTGTGTTGTGGGGAAGGCACCAGTGCATGAGGTGCCTGGGCCAGGGGTCTGTGCTCAAACTTAGGCGTGAAGGCTCTTAGCAGGCCGGAGGGAGCGCTGCCTCTCACCTGCTCCTTGGTGCCAGCAGCCCAACCAGGATTCCTGTTAGCAGAACCAGAGGAGTCTTTTAATCCTCGGCTTCCAGGAGCTGCCCTCCTTCCTTCCTCTAGCATGTGTGGGAAGGGAACAGTAACCCCTTCCAGAGGAGAACGGGGACTGCCTTCTCAGTCCCTCCCAGCCCAGCCCCCATCCTCCCAGGCACTCCCTACTGGTGGGCCAAGAGGACCCCTGGTCTGTGGGTGTGGCAGTGAGCTCTGGCGCCCCACACTGCAGGGTCGGGGGGTAAGCTCAGGGGAGCCAGGCAGCCTGGGAGGTGGGGATGCTGAGTGCGGCGGGAACAGGGCCGCCTTTAACTGCTGCACTTTTCACCTCCTAAAAAGTGCCCTGGGGGCTGAGGCTGGCTCCAGCCCAGAGTGTGGTCTCTGACAAGGCTGTCAGGGGTTTAGAGGCAGGCTCAGCCAACTCCATCTCTGTCTGACTGAGCAGGCCTCCCCGTCCCCAGCCACGCTCTGGAAGAGAGAGCAGTTGTTTCCAGGCACAGGACTGGTGTAAGACAAGCAGCCCCGAGCCATGTCTGCCTGGGCCACCCCTCTCCAGGTGCCAGCACCAGGAAGCTGCCAGCCCTGCACAGCCCCATGCGTTTCGTCCGTCTTCCCTCCACCTAGCCACTCTGTCTCCAAGCCCTATTTTGCGTAGCTGGTCCTGCTTGTAGGACATAAGGGCCCTGCGCACAGGCCCCTCGCTGACAAAGTTGATCGCTTGGGGCAGACCACATATGTTCCATTTGCTGAACTTCTAGCAGTCCTGTGGTCCCTGGTCTCTACCTCACATGTCCCATCAAGGGGAAAATGCAGAAAATGCCTGACCTCCTAATGAGAGGGTCTCCCCCACGATGTACATCACTCCCCATTCAAGAAGCCCCAGCAGAAGGGGACCAAAGCTGTTGGTTGCACACCTCCTCAAAGCCAGGTGCTGGGCAAGCCCCGGCAGCTCACTGTCTGCTGTACGCCGTGCAGCCATTGCTCCCCTGGGCTACCACCGAGCCCAGCCCCAGCAAGGGTCTTAACCATAGCCCCTGCTAATGTGGGAGAGCTGAGAGGTGGGTGCAGGAGGGAAAAATCGATGCGTGTCAACAGGATTGGAAATTTATTTTCCATCTTGGAAGAGGGTATTTGCAAAGAGGCGAGGGGGGAAATGAAAAGCTGTAAACACATATCTGCCATCTTCCTCCCTGGGCCATTTCTTGATTAAAAAGAAAGACTCCTTCCCAAGCTCCAGTGGAAGCCAAGCTGATGAGAGCCTGGATGGCAGAGACACCTCCTGGGGAGGGAGGCTGGAGAGGGACCCTGTAGCCCTGCGGATCATCACAGTGACTAATCCGATTGCAGCAATAATAGTAACTCACATTTGCTGACTGGAAGCGTTAAGCACTTTGTGATGCACTCTACATGCATTATTTAATTTCATTCTTAGAACCAGGCCGTGACACAGACATGTTAACCTCATGTTCGGGAACCTCAGGCTTGACAAAGATTCAAGTAACTTTCCCAAAGTCTCCCAGGTACAGGTGGCCAGGGCTGTGCTCTTTACCACTTCCCTAAATGCCTCCACCAACCTGGGCAGACACTGCCCCTCTGCCTTTCTCGGATTCTCTGAGGCTGGGGGAAACATCCTCCCCTCACTGCTGGAAGGGGAGGAGCTGTGGGAGCAGGGTCAGGCTGGACCCTGAGGTCTCATCCTGCTTCCCCAGGCAGCTTGGGTGGAGGACTGCAGCCAGGCCCCACTCACAGTGCTCACCAGTCCCTTCAGTGGGCAGCATGTTGACACTCACAAACAGAGCCATAGACGCTGCTCCTTTTGTGGTGGCAGAAGTGCCAGAGCTGCCCGAAGACTGATCCAGGAGCCCCAGGCGGCCTCTTCCTAACCACAAACACACAGAGCGCTGCCCTCCCTGGCCCTTCTCAGGCCCCTGAGACTAGGGCTCAGTGTCCCCCACCTTGCAACCACAAGCCAGAGGAGCTTTTCTTAGGGCCTCTGATCAGCCAGACATACTCCCTGCTGTCCAGCTCGGAAGAGACCTAGGGAACACCAAGCCCAAGGCAGAACTTCCTTTTTTTTTTTGAGATGCCAGGCTAGAGTATAGTGGCACAGTCATAGCCCACTGCAGCCTGGAACACCTGGGCTCAAGGGATCTCCCTGCCTTAGCCTCCTGAGTAGCTGGGACTACAGGCACGTGCTACCACACCCCCACTAATCTTTTAATTTTTGGACACGGTTTTGCTGTATTGTGCAGGATGGTCTTGAACTCTTGGCTTCAAGTGATCCTCTTGCCTTGCCCTCCCAAAGTGTGGGATTTACGGGTGTGAGCCACTTGACCCGGCCTGACTTCAGATCTGACCTGCTGCTGGGGCCCCTGGTTTGGTCTCCCCAGCTTTCCCTGCATCTCATATAGGCCCTGTGCTCTCCGCATTTCACCCCTCCCAGGGAGTCTGCTGCCCATCAAGTCACAGCCTGGCAAAGGGGACACAACACCGCGCTGTGGGCAGAGGGGCAGGGGCTCATGCTGCATGGCCCAGCTCAGGAGGAGGGCAAGGTGTGGGCGGCTGTGCCCTTGCCTCCTCACAGAGAGCACCCCGTCCCATCTTCATTGGCACAGGCTCCTAGGTGGCCAGGGTTGCTTCTCTCACAAGGCCAGCCCCTCTGACACCTTTGAGTTTGGACCTTACTCCACATGGAATGGGGCAACATGAGGATCCAGCTTCCTTTTTCTTTTCACCCTGAGAACAGTAGTGCCAAGGATCAAGCTGTCTCATCCTTCACTTATTTCATGAGAGCAGAGGCACCTTTCAGTCGCTACTCATTCATTATCCCCCTACCCCTGTGGCCTGTCCATCCTGGCCCAAGGCTTAGAAGGGCAGCTGCGGGTAACAGGCCCATTTCCAACATGAGCCAACAGGGATAGCTCTCCAGTGTGGGCATGGGGGCCGGTCTCAGTGATGCCGGAGCTGCCAGCATCCCGTGGCCCGCACCAGCAGCCATTCTTTCTCAGGGGCAAGGGGAGCAGTTGCAGAACCAGGGCTACCGGCTTCTTCCTCTTCTTGGTTTTGCTCTCTGCAATGTGGGGATATAGCACCCCCTGACCAGGGGACCACATTCCTGGAGAATGCAAGGTCACAGTGAGGTGACTGGGTCTAGCCAGTTGTCTGGAAGCCACTCCTCTCCTGCCCTACTTTGGGGCCTGGAGAATAAGTTCTTTTAGAGCTTTTCCCACTGACCAGAATCTCCACACAGCTAAGCGAGGAGGCAGCTGGGGATGCTTCCCTCCTTCCCTCCCACAGAGCCCCCGGCACTCTCTTCCTGGCCCTGGCAGGTTCCTGACGGACCACCTCAGCCGCAGGACAGCTGCCCAGACCTGGGGGTATCGGGAGTGGGGAAGGAGGGCAGCAGCCAGGAGTTGGGCCACTGACTCAGATGGTCCAAGGGCGTCCCTGAAAACTGCAGTCTGTCTCCCTGTCCTCTTCTGGCAGCCCAACCGCATGGGGCCCCAGCTGGCACTGCATGTGCCATAGGTCCCCACCCCTCCCACTTCCTACAACCGTTCCTCATGCTGAACCTGTCACTCCTCCCCTCCCCCACGCTGAACAGGGTCTTGGCTCCCTCTGTCACAGCACTTCCATCTCTGGGACCCCCAAGACGGATTGGTCCCCAGCCCCGACACATGCATGTCACTGTCCTCCTCGACTGCAAGCTTCCCCTCCCCTGGTGTGCCCCGCGCCTCCTGACATCTCTCCACCTGCTTGCAGAGATCAGTGTACTTCTCAATCGTTGTCCATCTTCTCCAAAAAGATTCCTCAATGCTTTTCTTTTCAAAAGGGAAAAAAAAAGGAAAAAAAAAACAATGCCAACAGCCCAGCGTCCGTGATCAACCCAACAGTAACAAAGCATGCGTTCGGGATGGAGGAAGGTAAGGCCACACATTTCCATTTGCCGCTTGTCCTAGGGCTGGGCGGCCGGGATGATGGAGCGGGGATCTGAGCAGCCCTCCTCCCCGCCACTTCCCACACACACACCCCTGTCTGCAGGGGGAGGAAGAGAAGGGGTCTGAGAGGAGGCTTGGAGAAAAGCGCCCACCAGGCTGCCCCAGGGCCAGCAGGCCCCCGTTTTCTTTCACTGTGAGTCTGTGTTGAATAATGGGCCCCCACCTCCCCTTCGCACATCATTCATTCCTTCATTCATTCATTCTAGAAATGTTTAGGGCACTCATGATTTTCCAGACCACAAGGGACACAGAGATTATGAGGCACAGAAGCCCCCTGAGGGGGTCTCCCCTGGATGAGGAGACACATGGGAGGGTGAGCGGGCCTGGGCTAGGAGTCAGCACAGTGCAGGGTGGGATCCTGCGGGCTCTGCGAGGGGATGGGACGAGCCCACAGAGGAGTGGACGTTGGTGCTAAGCTTTGGAAGATGAGTGGGTGTTCTGGGGCCAGGGAGCCGGTGAAGGGCTTTTTAGTCAGAGCGAGTTCTGTGAGCACAGGCCCAGAAGCCCAGAGCCCCCTGGAGGGCCACGCACCGCACAGCTTCATCACTTTTGTGTGTCAGGCACACTGGGTACCACTAGTGAGGGGTTGGCGGCAGGCCATGGAAGGCCATTTCATAGTGCTGGGGAGTTAAGTCCTTGCCTTGAGGACTGTTAGGAGGGGTTGAGGGCTTTCACACAGACGAAGAGCAGTATGAGGGCCGTGCAGTAGAGAGCCCGCTCTGGCTTCGGTACGGGGGCTGGCTTCGGTATGGGGGTGACCTGGAGTCAGGAGACCGAGGCGCACAGTGCAGGCTTAGCCAGGGCAGAGGCAGAGGAGAGAGACGTTCAGCAGAGCCTGGGTTACCCTTGGGTGGGGGCGAGGGAGAACCCTGCCCCAGTCCATCTTCTCCAGGCCTGATTGGGAAAGGGAGAATTCGAGCAAGGCGCTCAGGCTGTCCCTGGTCCCCCGGAAGAGCACATTCACCTTGCAGGCCGCTGGACGACTTTCTCTGCTCTGTGGTGTGATGGGCTGGGGTGCGTCCACGAAGACTCACTGGTCGGGCCACCGAGGCTGCTGGGGTATTTGCTGGGGGCCTGTGCTAAGGGACAGTGGTGGTACCAAGCCGGGGCCTGGGCTCCTGTTTCCTGGCTTCCTTGGCAGTGTGGACATGGGGGTGTTTTGCATCAAGGCCGTTGAAGCTGTCCCTCAGCTGTAAAAAAGGGCCAGCCTTCCCCATCCTGGTGGGTCCTTCCTCTGGGGCCTTCTTCCTTAGGCCTGGCCCCCCATCCTAAGGAAGCCCCTGCTTTTCTTGCTCCCACCGGCGCTCCACTTCTGCCTGCCTGGCCCTGCTGTCAGCGCCCCCTAGTGCCCACCGGCCGCGCTTGAGGGCGGTGGGGCCTCAGATCCATCGCCTCGGCTTGCTTGTGGAGAAGGAAAGCAACAGAGGAGGCTCTCTTGGAATCTGGAGCTTCCATGTAGAATCCCCAGGGTCTGCTCTTGGCTTTCCCATCCTCTCCATCTCATGGCACAATGGCCTGTCCCCACAAATTAGGGAGATACTGAAGAAGGAACAGGAAAAGGAGATCCTACTTGCCTTGTTTTCTATCCTTATCCAGACAGCTCTTGACTTTCCCAGGCAGCCAGTGTCCCTTAGAGGTCAGGGACCATAGCCAGGCCCTCAGCCCCTGTCCACATTCCCATCCCCCACTTTCCCCAATCAGCCGAGAGGCCCTGGTGTCCCAGTGAACCGTCCCACCGAGACCCAGGCCACAGACGTAGCGGGTGCATCCCAGTCCTCCCCGCCCCCAGCCCGGGTGCCCACTTCCTCCCCACTCCACTCTGTGGCCGCTGCTCCTGGGGCCTGCAGGGAGTGGGGGTCAGTGGCTCGTTCCTGGCTGGCCGGTCCAGGAGTGAAGGCCATGACCCCTTCATTCCCTAACCAGAGCCAGCTGTGCTGCGCGTGCGGCGGCAGGGGGCCTGGGAGCTGCAGGCTGAAGACCAAGGTCTCGAGCCAGGCCAGATGCGTGCAACATTTGTGCACATCTTGCTGTTTCAAATGACTGCTCTGAGGTCCTGCAGTCCTGGGTGGACAGGCCAGGCCCCCTCAGTCATAGGCAGGCGTCCCTTAGAGAAGGAGAGGTTGCAGGTCTACACATCTTGGCTTGGGGCAGACTCAAGACACTGCCTGGTGCGTGTATACCCACGTGTCAGAGCCCCTGGGGTAGACTGAAAGGGAATCAGAACTGACCACCTTCAAAGGGACAAGTAATTGGCTCTTCCTTGCACTCAGCAAACAGGAAATTCTGTTCCCAACCCATCTACTCCAGGACCTGACTTAGGTCAGGAGATGATGGGACACTGGAGGGGCCCGTGGCTGAATGAGATGGGTCAAGCTGCAATGTCTGAAATGGGAACGTACATGTGCAGGGCCAGGAAGGTGGAGAAGAGGAGGGTAGGGCTCCCTGCCTGCCTTTCAGGCTGACTCTGAGACTTGGGGCCTAAGAGGAAAGGAGAAAGGAGGCATTCAGACAAACAGGGACCCTCTTTTCAATGGAGCGGCCCCTCTCAAACCAGGCATTCCCTCCCAGGGAAACAGGACACTTGCCAGGAGGTGCCAAAGATGAGCCAAGACCTGGCCAGCAGGCGGACTGTGTGTGTGAGCATGAGTGAATGAGTGAGTGGCAAAGCCAGGCGGAAGCTCCAGGCACAGGCCAGGCAGGAGAGGGGAGGTGGGGACAGATCAGGCAGGGACGCTTCGGGCCCTCCCATACCCTGGCTTCTCCCCGCCTGCCTCCCCTGTAGAGCCGGGACAGGAGGCACTGTGGAGTTGGGGGCATGCTGGCTGAGCATGAGTGTGTGTGCAGGCACGGGCCCCAGCCCCGCAAAGAGCAGTGTCGTCCACACACATCGTCAGGGTGGTCCTGCTTCGGAGTTAAAGGGCTTCCCGCAACAGGGAAAGACCATGCTCTCGCACCGGAGTCTGCCAGCCAAGGGGCTTTCTCTCCCCTGGCTGAGCCTTCCTGTGCCCTGAGCTACCCCCTGCCCATCCAGGGAGCAGGTAGGGATCCCCCTGCAGAAGGACACAAGTGAACCCAGAATGATGCCTCAAGACAGGCAGCCTAGCCCAGGTGGTGCCCCTGCTCCCCAGACCCAACTCTGACCAGGCCTGGCCCTCTCCTGTGTCTTGCAGAACTTCAGCGAGAGGGAAGCATCGAGACTCTGAGTAACAGCTCAGGCTCCACCAGTGGCAGCATCCCAAGAAACTTTGATGGCTACCGATCTCCGCTGCCCACCAATGAGAGCCAGCCCCTCAGCCTCTTCCCGACTGGCTTCCCGTAGGTACCAGCAACTGCTTCTGACTGGCGGGCCCCCTCCCCTGCTGGAGGAGGGGAGAAGCCCCCCTCTGGTCCTACCCTTCAGTCTCTGCTCCTCCTTCATCAACACCTTCCCCAAGCTTAGTGACAGCAGCCGCCCATCCTACCTGGATGAAGAAGAGACCTTCTCCCAGCACCTCAGCATACCCGCCCTCCGTACCTGTCAGTGGAGGCTGTGGCCAGGAGAGACTGCAGAAGCCCGGTCCCTGTGTATGTTTGCACATGACATCCTGCATTGGATCCGCTTTTGTATTTTTTAACCATATCCACAGGGGAGGGGGGGCCTGGAACAGTGACCAGATCTGGGGGCCTGAGTGGGGGCAGGGTCCATGGTCCAGCCGGGCTTCTTGACCCTGAGTAGACAGCCACAGCCTCACCTCACGTCTGGCTGTGATACACGCTGCCCCCAGCTTCCCTTGGTCAGCCCCCCTCCAGCATGGGATGAACCGAGGCCTAGAGTATTAGGGAAGGAGGAAGGGAGGAGACACCTCTTCTTCCTCCCTTCTTTCCCCATCTGTTTATGGGAAGAGTTTGTCTTTCTTATCTTTAAGTCCTTTCATCCTGGTCCTGTACTGTTCAGTGAAGGAAACCGTGGTTATTGAGGCCCTGTCGTAAAGTGCATGTCTTGTCCAATAAATCATGCTGCAATTGGTGTCTATCCCTGAGTTGCTGGGGTCAGGGTCCTCTCCAAACGCTGAGCAGAGTCCTGTGGACTGAGCGCCCAGGATCCCAACGCCCCCTTTCATGTGCACCTGGGGGCAGAAGGAGTCAGTGGAGGGTTGGAATGGGAAGCAGAACTTTTGCTCTGGAATTTGGATGGGGCCTGATTTAAGCCCATTCTCCAAGCATCTTGCCTGTTACCAGAGGCAGTGAGTTCTTGGGGTACCACAGGCTTGGACCCTCCTCTCTGAGGGTCTTGCCTGGCCACGTGCTGGTGGGTTGCTGGGGGGAGGAGAGCCTGGCCAAGCCTTTTCCGCGGGGCACCTTGTAACTGCCTCTGTCTTCAAGCTCAGAAGATGGAAGGGTGGTCAGGTGAAGGTGAGTATCTCATGAAACCTGGCTGGAATCTTCAGATGACAAGTGCCTAATTTTGTCCCCCTGCCCCACCACCACCACTTCTGGACCTAAAATGAATGTCAACAAGGAGATGGGAACAGGGAGGACAAATGGTGTGTTGAGCAGGAAGCAGGAAGGAGATGAATGCTAATCCTAGTGCCCCTTCCCTGGCCCACACTTCCCAGAGACCCCAGGGAGGTCTTGGAGAATGGAAGGAAACCCACGGAGCCAGGTGTGGTTTGGGTTAAGTTTAATGGAACAGCCATAGAAAAGTTGAGGTCACAAACAAGCAGGCCTTCCCATGCAACTGTCCAGCCAGAGCTGGGACCGCTCCTGGGGACCCTGCCCCCTTCACACACACCCATCCCATCCCAGCTGCCCGAGGGGCCCTCATCGTCAGTTCCCTCTGCCAGATCAGCTGGGCACGTTGGAGGCACAGGTGGAGGGTTGCTGAATCCCACTAGGCTCCGTAGGCTGAAAGATGATCCTACATGGGGTGGGCTAAGCCTGGGCACCTGCAGGGTGAGAAGTCACATGCCGGACTGAGGCATGCTAGGAACACAAGCCTGGCCCCAGCAGTAGGGGGTGCTGGAGGAGCTGCAGCTTTTCCCCATCTTGCTGAATTATTGATGGGCCTGGCACTGCCCCTACCCCCAGCCAAGCCATATTTCAGTCAAAAAGGGACAAGGAGGAGAGTGCTACCAGGCTGCCTGTGTGTGCTGCCCATGGCCCGTCTCGCTGCTCTAGGAAGCATGAGCCCTCTGAAACCACCCTAGGATACGTGGATGTGGCGGAGACCTTGCTGCCAGGGGCTCTCTCAGCCATTCGGGGAACTGGCTGGCAGCTTAGAGAGTCAGGAGACCCCCTGGCCTGGCCCTTCCCCTCCAGTGGGGGCAAAACAGCTGTGGCCTCCCCCAGGCAGGGAAAGTGGTGGGTGTAGGGCTGGACTTGCCGGCTGAGCTTGCAGGACAATCTGGTTATTCATCTGCTCGAAGCCAGGGCAACTCTTTGAGTATGTGGGGGAAGGGTGAGGATAAGAGAGGCCAGATAAGCTGGCCCCACAGCGGCTGCCACTAAAGCTCAGGTTATCAGAAAGGCTTTGGGCCTGGCCTCCGGCTAATTGGGGAGGTTATGGAGCCTGCCATAGCCTGTAATCAGCTGGAAGTGAGAGCTAGGCCCCAGGGTGGGGTCCTTACTGGCCACTGGCCCCTGAGCAGCTGCTTCCTATCCTCTACCGATAACATCCAGGGCAATCTGGGACTCACCTCAGCCCCAGCAGACCTCATGGTGGCATCACCTGGGAGGGCATCAGAGCATGAATCAAACTATGGCCAGACCAGGGGACCTTTAGGAATCCACGTGACCTCCGGATTCTCTCGGCACTACCTGGTCAACGGGCAACTTTACTATGGACTTCCTCTCAATTTGATGAAGGAAGAATATCTTCATGATCTTGAAAGAGGCTGGTGGGAGCCAGGGTGGCAACTGAAAGAGCGAGGGTACTACCTAGGATGAGAAAAGGCCCAGTGGGCCTAAGGCTGATGCAAGCACACAAGCTTGAACGCCAGAGCCAGCCAGCCCTTCTGTAAACGAGCGGAGGCCAGGCAGGCAGCCACCAGTCTGGACATGGATATGGTTTCTCAGTGGTAATGTTTTATTTCACAATTCAGGGGCTCACAAAACTAGAAAGTACCTGAGAGTTCTGTTTGCTCCTCATTTCTTACAAATGGCAAGCAAGCCTGAGCCCCAGAGTAGGGCAGGGCCTAGCCCAAGGTCATAAAGTCACACACCTAGTGAACCAATCCCTGTCTGCACCTGGCTGCTTCACACCCTGGCCAGTTCCCTTAGAGGGACCCAAATCAGAGCTGAGCTTCCTGTCCTATGCCCCCATCCCATCCAGGATGCTGACCCTGCTGACCTCCATCCCCACTCCATGAGGCTTCCGGCTGGGGCTCAGAGACTGCCTTTGCAGCTGCTCCCTTGCCCTTGTGTAGCTGGAAGGCGGCCCTCTCCTGCAGACCTAGAACTGGAGACTCTAGAGGCAAAGGGACAGTGCATCCTGTATGTCTCGAATTCAGAGCAAGAGCCCAGGGAAGGGTGGCGGCCCTGGCATCTCAGGATCACTTTGCTGTAAGAGCAGGGGTAGGCAGCTCAGCAGCACAGCCTTCTTGGGAGTGGATTTGGACTTGCTCTCTTTAAGGTCCCAGGGTCCCATCCCAGCTCTGCCACCAGCAGGCACGTGGTCTTGGGTAAATGACTGCACCTCTGGGGTTCAGGGTCTTCAGTGTAAAGGAGGGAGTGGAAGGGAGAGAGCAGCATGCCCTTCCCGGAGGTGTGACACAGAGCCGAAGCAGGCAAAGGGGAAGCTGCGGGTCCACCAGGCAAACCCAGGGCTCGAGGTGCAGAAGTTGACAGCCAGGCCAGGTAGCCTCTTAGCAGGGATCGGAAGGGCAGAGGTGGCGCAGCTGGAGCCCGGGATTGCGGGGCGCCGTCCCCACGCTGCTCCAGGGAATCCCGACCGGCTTCCCTGCGAAAGCGTTTCCGAATGCGATCCCAGAGCCTGTAAGCGCCCCAGCAGCCCCGCCCCTCTGTCGCAGGTGGGCCCGTCCTAGGGGTCCTTTTTGCCCTCTACCCCGTCTTGCAAGCCACTCAGTCGAGCGCCCCGTTCACGCTCCCGTGATCCCAGAAACCCGCACCCATGATCTTGCCCCGTGCACATCCACGCACGAAGGTTCACAGACGCGCACCTCACTTCTGCGGCCCAGATGTCCCAAGCATACAGCCGCCACCAGCGGAACCGCGGCCCCGAGCCAGTGAGCCGTCTGCAGCTCCCAGGGTTACGGGGCTCCCCAGAACTCTGGGAAAGTCATCCAAAGTCCAGCGGGGATGCGGCCTTAGTTCTTGGCCGCGTGATCTCGCTCTCAGGTGCAGAGCGACACCGCCCCCGGCCCGTAGAGGCCAGGCTGGGCCTTGCCCTCGCATCCGCCAGGATGACGAGGGACGGGGCCACACAGGCCGTGGCTGCGGAGGCGCTACCCTGGACCACCCCGCAACAAGAAGGGAGTCTGGCCGCCCGCTATCCCCGCGTCCCCCGCCCCATTCCAGCCAGTTGGCCCGACCCTGCGCGGGATAATTGGGACAGGAGGGAGGCGACAGGCGGGCGGCGGCTCCAGAGAGACTGCGCGCCTGTCAGCGGCAATTTGTTTAAGTGGACGGGACGGGACGGGCCGCTGCGGGCTGGGGTCACGGAGGCCGCGGCCCACACCCCAGCCAGACCTGGGACCGCGGGGGAGCCCGGCCCGGCCGCTAAACCGGGCTGGCTGGCGCCAGGGCTCCGGGAGGTGCAGTATGGCTGGGAAGCCGTGATGGGAAGCGACTCTGTCCGGGGAATGTCCTTCACCCCCACACTCCCAAAGTCCAGGCGGGGACCGAGGCGCCCAGTGGCACCCTCACAGCTGCCCATAGCACGGGGCCACGCGCGTCCCCTGTGCTTAGCCTGGGCACATTCATCTGCCAGCGAGCGCTGAAGCCAGTCTGCAGCCCGCGCCCCGTCACTCGGACGCATGTCTGTCGTCCCCTCTGCCACAAGGCCGCACAGCCCTATCTTTCTGCCGCCCCCTGCCCGAGGGCTCACGCAGCCCCGGCCTCGCACACCGACGACGAAGCGGCGGGGACCCCCTGCCACCTTGGAGGCTCAACCTGGGGAAGGTCCCAGCAGTGCCCCTTGACCCTGCGAGGGGTGGCGGGGCCAGCGGATGGAAGGGCAGCCGCGCCAGCCTCAGGACCGCGGCCCCAGCCGGCCCAGGCCGCCCCCGCCCCCCGCCCCCTTTAGCTGTTGCGGGAAGCGCTGGCGCACTGTCCGCGCACCACCCGCCGGAGCCCATCCGACGCCCCGGTCGGAGACCGCCTGAAAAGGGAGGGGCGGCCGAGCGCGCGTCCCCCGCCCGTCTGCGGGGCCGGGCCGATGCGAAGTGACAGGGGCCGGAGCTTTGTTGTGGAGCCTCGGCCGCCTGGCGCCAGCCGCCCCCGCCCGCGCCCTCCCCCTCCAGCCCCGGGCGGCCCGCGAGGCGCCCCCCGGGGCCTCTTAAAGAAACACGCACACTCGGCCCGGGGGAGTCCTCCAGGGGCGCGGGTTCCTGGGAAGGGGAAGGGGGCTGGCGGGGGAGGGGCCCAGCGGGAGCCGCACGGCGCCGCTTCAGGGCCTCCAAAGCCTCCCTAGCGCCAGTTTTCGATGAGCCTCCGGCATTCCTAGCCGGAGAGTTTGGCTGGGGGTCGCTACAGACTCTTCGGAGCGGCTGCCACAGGACCTCCGGGCGATTGCGGGACGGCGGGGCGGGGCGGGCGTTGGGATCCTGACCTGGACAGACCCCGGGAAGCCAGAGGACAGGTCCGAGGCACTGTAGGTGGGGTCGCCGTCCCCAGAGGCAGCCATTGCACTGTCGCCGCTGGGTTTCTTGGTTAAATAGCCCAGGCCTGAGTGTTTCAAATTCTCCAGGCCTCGGACCCACTGGACCAGCTATGGATGGACTAATGAAATGGACTGTCTAAAACGCACACATTTAGATGTACACATACTCTTACAAGGACAAAAGTACGTGTCCACACACACACACACACACACACACACTTTTCACACTCGACTTTGCAAATGTAGTCACAGATTTCTAGGCCGGTACCTGGATACCCGGCTAAGGAAAGCTGCCCTGGTTATCTGGTCACCTCGTCGGCTGCTCAAACGTGTCCACAAGGGTCCCTCCCCGAAGGGGCACACACATCTCGCCTATGGTGGAGCGGGCAGGTATTTGCCTGTGCAAAACTGCAACGGATCCTACCCCGGCTGCGTAGCCTGCGCTGCGCGGAGTCAAAGATTCGTTCTGGCCAGAGAGAAGGTACTAAGAGAGGAGCGACCCAGCCAAGAGCTAGGTCGTGGAGAAAACCCTGCGAGGGCGGCGCTCATACGTGCAGTAATGAGTTATGAGTGCTCTGGGGTCGGTCCCGAAAAGTAGGGAAAACGGTCTCAGAGGCCGCACTGCTTCCCCGGGTCCCAAATCCACACTGCCGGAAGAGATCCAGCCTTTAAATGCTGCTCCCAGCGTTCCACACGAGGTGCCTTGCGACCGGTGTGCGCAGCGGGCGGGCGTCTGCATGGGTCAATGTTGGACGTGGGATGTACGCGCCCACCACGCGGTTTTACGGGTGGGAGTGTCACCCGTGGTTAGTGTATGCTCTGTTTTTTCCTTCGGAACACGACCTCCAGCAATCAGCCTGAGTGTCCGCGCCCGAGCCCTACTGGAAGCAGGTGCGTGGTCGCTCCACTCTCCCCGTACACACCCTGAGTTACAGCTCTTGCTGTGCGCAGGGGGCACCACACGGGGCCCGAAACACACACACACACACACACACACACACACACACATCACTTGGGGGGGGAGGGAATACTGAGGCTGCCGGAAAAGAGAAGACAAGACTGATCGCGGAGGAGGAGGCTTCAGTCATAGGTGCTCCCAGACACTCCGACTCCTGCACTCGTTGCCTAGCACTCCTGAACTTAGGAGACTCCGAGAGATGAGAACAAACTCTTAAAAAGTGGTTGACAGGGCGAAAAGAGGATGCCGGTATTTCGGATGAAGGAGACTTTCGTCTCCGGTACCGGATAGGGCGAAAATTCGTTGGGTCGCGGGTGGAGAATCCGGGGTCCGCCCACGCAGTGCCGCCCTGTGCTCAGCGAAAGGTGCGCTCACCTTTCTAGCCTCGAGGACCCGCTCTCCCAGCCGCCAGAAAGCTCAGGGCGGGGCCGGGGCCTGCGGAGAACGCCAGGTTCCTTCCGAGTATTCCGGTGAGGGCGGGCGCGGGTAGGGGGTCCCCGCGTTTCCCCAGCGCAAGGCCGCGTCCCGCTCCCGCCTGCCCCGGCCCCAGCAGGGCTCGGCCATGGCTCCACTCACCAGCTCCCGCCACCTGGGATCCGCTCCGGGACCTCTGCCGCCCGAGCCTCCCGACTCGCCCGCCCACTGGCCTCGCTTTCCAGCGCCTGCAGTCTCTCTCCGGAGTGCAGGGACCCCCAGGCGGCGCCGCGACCGGGAGCTGGGTCGGAGGCCAGTCTGGGGCGCCGGCCAGAGCGGCCGGGCCTCCAGGCACGGGAGAAGGAGGGCGCCCCCCTCCTCTCCGGGCCGTGTCAATGCTTTGCACTTGGGGCCAGCGTGCGGCTGCGGGTCCTTCCTCAAGGCCCCGGGACCCCGGCGCCCCTCGCCTCAGGCCCTTTCGGCGGGTCAGGTCGGCCCTCCGCACTCTCCAGTCCCGCGCAGGCAGCCGTGGGCGCGGGCGGGCGGTGGGGGCCGGGACAGGAGGAGGGGTCTCGGGGCCCGGCGGCCCGTCATTGGTTAATATTTTATTCTGTTGACATGTTTTCTTACTGCTAAGGCTTCCGACACCTTCTCCCAGGCCCCCCCTCCCGGCCAGCGCTTGGCCTGAGCTGTCAAAACCCCGCCCCCGGAGACCCACAATTGGTCCAAAAAGCGTAAAATCAGCAATCAAGGGGGGCCTGGCTCGTTAGCGCAGGGGATCCGAGCTGGGCAGGACATGTGAGATAGTCACAGTTTTCCAGAGATCACGACAAGATCTAACCAGTCGCGCGTGGTCCCCGGCGCCGGAGCGGGCCAGCCCAGCCCAGCCCGGCCCCGCGCAGAGCCCCCGCCGCCCCCCGCGCACAGATCCCCGTGCCCCTTGCGGTGCGCCGTACGGAGAGCCCGGAGGAGCAGCTGCCGCGCCCGCCACCCGGGTCGTCCGTCCTCCGCGCGCGCCGCCGTCCGGGCCGGGGGTCCGAGCCGCGCGCCCCCGGCCCCGGCCCCCGGGCGCCTGGGCCGGATGTCCCGATGAGAGAGCCGGCGCTGGCGGCCAGCGCCATGGCTTACCACCCGTTCCACGCGCCACGGCCCGCCGACTTCCCCATGTCCGCCTTCCTGGCGGCGGCTCAGCCCTCCTTCTTCCCGGCACTCGCGCTGCCGCCCGGCGCGCTGGCCAAGCCGCTGCCAGACCCGGGCCTGGCGGGGGCGGCGGCGGCGGCAGCGGCGGCGGCGGCAGCAGCGGCCGAGGCGGGGCTGCACGTCTCGGCACTGGGCCCGCACCCGCCCGCAGCGCATCTGCGCTCGCTCAAGAGCTTGGAGCCCGAGGACGAGGTGGAGGACGACCCCAAGGTGACGCTGGAGGCCAAGGAGCTGTGGGACCAGTTTCACAAGCTGGGCACGGAGATGGTCATCACCAAGTCGGGGAGGTAGGGCGGCCGGCCGGCTGGAGGGCGCGCGGGTGGACGGGCGGGCTGGGGCACGCTACCGCACCGACCAGCGCAGAGCCCAAGACTCCCGGCTCCCGGCTCCCGGCTCCCAACTCCGGGCTCCAGGCGCTGGCCCTGACGCCACGCTTCGCTCCCACAGACAACCAAGTTGACTTTTCTCGTTTGGCACTGGAGTAATTTTTTTTTTTAACAAAAACACTAAAATCCCCCGAATGAAATAAAACGAAAACAGGCTGCTAAAGAATAGCCCCAACAGTTCTGAGTCCCAGCGCGGAGGAGGCCTCGCGGCTTGGCCCTGGCGGTCTCCTCCGCCCCGCACCCTCGCCCTTCTGCGTCCGGGTCCGTCTCCGAGCTCGGGGGAAATTCAGCCTCTCCCAGACTCTGCTCCTGCCCCGGAGCCCCTAGTGGGATCCGCGCCCCGCTAGTCCCAGGCCTGTCGCTCGGTTCCCGGCAGCGAGCCCTGAGTCAGCCGAGCCCACCGCGTCACTGGGCTGGGATCCCTTGCCCCACCGCGGGGATCCGAGCCCTGGGCGCATCCGCGGCCCCAGACCTTAAAGCCAGAAGAAAGCCACAGTCCCAGCCCCTCCACCCTTCGACTCAGCCACCGAGAATCCAGGCCGCGGGTTCACCCTCTTCCCCCGAACTGCACGGCCAGGATGTCTGATCAGGCTCTGTAGCCCAGTTCCCAATACAAACATCTTCCACATTTATTTCTGGGAGCTTCCGTCCCAAGTGGGTATTTCTCCTGAACGAATTTCGGGGAGATTCAGGAGAAGTGATAATATTTCTGGAGGACCTAGACTTCTCTCCTGGACGTCGGCTTTCATCTCAGATCAGGAAGAAAGAGGGTCCCCAGACCAGAGCGTCTCATCCCAGAGGCACAAGGCCTAAAGGAGGCCGTTTAGGGTCTGACAGGCAGAAATGGGATCTCCCGGGAGCAACAACCACATATGGGGTCTCCCGGGCAGCGATGAGAGGGCAGAGCAGAGGACCACAGGGGAACAGCCAGGCAGCAGCGGTGTGCGCCTAGCGAGGAGGGAGAAATAAAGGAGAATAGGGGTCCTCGGACCCAGAAGAGCCGGTTCCAGTGGAATCTCCTCCCTTCCCTCCCTCCCAGGCGGATGTTCCCCCCCTTCAAGGTGCGAGTCAGCGGCCTGGACAAGAAGGCCAAGTACATCCTGCTGATGGACATTGTTGCCGCTGACGACTGCCGCTATAAGTTCCACAACTCTCGCTGGATGGTGGCAGGCAAGGCCGACCCTGAGATGCCCAAACGCATGTACATCCACCCAGACAGCCCAGCCACGGGGGAGCAGTGGATGGCCAAGCCTGTGGCCTTCCACAAGCTGAAGCTGACCAACAACATCTCTGACAAGCACGGCTTCGTGAGTGTAGGGGCAGGGTGGGAACAACGGGCGGGAGATTGCCGACCTGGCACTGCAGCTGAGCAGGAGAGCAGGGCCCCAGGATCTCCCAGGGGGAAGCGCTGGGCAAACCCCCAGAGTGCTCCTGCCG